CACCACCACCACCTCCTGTGGCAATGAATTCCATGTGTTAATCACTCTTTGGGTGAAGAAGTACTTCCTTTTATCCGTTCTAACCCGACCGCTCAGCAATTTCATGGAGTGCCCACGAGTTCTTGTATTGTGAGAAAGGGAGAAAAGTACCTCTTTCTCTACCTGCTCTATCCCATGCATAATCTTATAAACCTCAATCATGTCTCCCCTCAGGCGTCGTTTCTCCAAGCTAAAGAGCCCTAAGCGTTATACATAAAAAAGACAAGGCTATTATGTTTAAATTAAATAAAGCACCAGTCATGTGCTCAATGGATGGCTACTAAAGACATGTAATTATTTTTTTCCTTCATGGTACTTACATCTTTTCCCCCCAAAATCAGTTTTATTCAATTTTCTCATTAACATTAACAACAGGGTTATGCAAGATAGGCATATACATATAATTAACATATTTTTCGTTATACATACAAAAAGTGCTTCAATCAGTCTAATCTATACTGTGGAGAGGATTCTTTCCGTACAGTTCATACTATATATCAAACTGTGTATTGTGCTATAAACGCTACAAAAGGCGAAGAGTACCTATTACATCGGGTATTGAATCTTTGGTAGTTAGGTATGATAAGATAGGAGACCATATAGTGTAGTGTCATTGTGTTCTTTTTTTGGTTTGATTTGTTTAAAGATATCTGTGGTTTTTTCCATTAAGTATAGATTCCATAGTTTCTTGTACCAGAGGTTTACGTTCAGAGTGTTTTGGGACTTCCATGTGGATGCAATTGCGGTTTTAGCTGCAAACAGTAATAGGCTGATTCTTTTCTTAAGTGTTAGAGATAGAGCACTGGTACTTACATCTTTAAAGATCTGAAACTTAAATTCCATAAAAGGTAACCATTTTTTGAGTAAACTAAAATGTCAAACTGATTCTGCTTTTTTCTCTGAAATAGTATCAGTAATTTAATCTAAAATAAAATAGTCCCATATGTTTCAGTACCATTGTTGCACCGTGGGGGAGGGGGGGTCTGCATCCTTCCACTTCATGGCTATAACAGTTTTTGCCACAGTGATCATAGTCATAATTAGATCTTGCCATAGTTTAGGTACATTTGAGTCTTTTCAAAATGCCAACAGCCACCTTGTGAATGACACATTATACTTTAAAAGGTCCCACATATTTCCACCTCAGCTTTCCCCCCCCCAGGTTGCGAGCCCTTCAGGTTCTTTGTGGACACATAGATAGAGTCCCCAGGCTGTAAGTCCCACTCTGGTGACCTGCCCTTGTCAGCCTGGGCTTTGTAATCCTCTTTGGCTTTAACCAGAGTCTTTTGAATTAAGGTCCAAGTCAGACCACCACACTTCCAAGTCCCTGGGTCCGGTTGGTTCAGATACAGTTGTAGGGAGGGGGGGCCTCCTGTCGCCATCACACTGCCGGGGTTCTGCCCTTTCTTGGTCTGCCGCTAAGGGGGACGTCATATCCCAGGCCTTCAGGGCGCCGGTGGGGGAGGCTCGGGAAGGCGAAGGAAGCTCGGAAGGGCAAGAGGATGAGGGCCTCAAATCAGGGGTAAAGGGAGGAGTTTACTTCATCTCGTCCACCCCTAGGGTACCCATCTTGCTCGCTCACATGCCCTCTACAAACCGGAAGTCACTCATGTTTTAACTGGGAAAGAATCAGGGCTGTGATTTAGGGGCTGCCCAGGAACTTATGCCATGATCTCCCTCACCTCTCTACCCAGTTTAGAAACTGGCTAACACTGATTCTCAGGATCCAGCAATCCCTTCTGGAACGCCCTCCCCCCTATGTTCTATAACTCATGGCATGGGACAACCAGTTCTTTGCAGTGCAGGCTGCTTTTAAACCACTGTGTGCTAGAAATGGCATGTTCACTGAGCCAGTGAACAATTGAGCTAAGCTTGTTCAACACCAGCACCACTTCTGACTCCTGTTCCTGCACTACATAGGTCAGGCCTGCATAATGCATGATCCACAGAAACAGTCCATCACCCTTTCAGGTACTTGGCAACCATTTCCTGTGTTTGCAGTTTGAGGTTAGCAGCAAACACAGGAGGATTATCAAGCCCTCTGGAGAGTCATCATATGGCAACTCACAGAGTAGTTTATGCAGCCTTCTTGTAGGTTCTAATCCAACTGTAAGACTTAAAATATTCCTGATCTGTCAAGTGTGTTACCTGAACACAAGTGCTGGCTCTCCATGTTGCTTCTGCTGCAAGGACATTCAACCCCCTGCCCTTCGGACACTAGCTCATCTCGCAAATATCCCCCATTCCTCTTGATTACAGTGAATACAAAACAACACTATACTACAAAGTTCTAGGGTGCACACATTACAATATTATGATTTTATTTAACTTTGTTGTGAATGTTGCCAGAATAATAAACCAAAATCCTTATATTATCAAAGAGTCGTTCATTTCTGCTCAGCAGGCATACTAGAGATATGTGTCCGTATGAACTAACACGTGAAGATGTTGGCTTGGTTGGGATTCCAGCTGGCTCAAGACATTTGCATGTCAGTGGCAAAAAAATCCCAACTGAACCTTTTGCCACTGTATTCATTAGCCTGTGGTGGAAGCACTATTAAAACAGAGGATTTGTAAGATGTCAACTTTGCATTCCCTCATCCTGGCAGGAAATAGGGAAACTGTCTCTTCTCAAATGCAGTTGAAGAGACAGCTGTCTCACCAATTTTGACTATTCCCGGGGCCTGAATTTCATTTCCGAGCGTTTGTAGGAATAGTTGTACCCTTTGCCGGTTCTCCAGTTCACACCATCAGCATAAGAGGAGTGAGACCCAAGCCAGTACATCCCATTGAGGTTGCTGTGGTGGCAGCTGTTGTACCACCAAGCTCCTTTGTAAGTCACTGCACAGTTATTGTTGCCAGGATCCTGCTGTCTGTCTTTGGTGGAGAAAGGCATGTTGTTGTGGGAAGTGAGTGAATCACCTGCAAATGACAGATTAAATTCTAGTTTAGGGGGGTAGACTGCAGACTGGTTCACACATACATACATGTCCATTACAGGACCAGTGCAGAATCTAGGGGTTACTTGTACATCACCTCTGGTTCAAGACCGTCCAGTGGAATTAACTCATATATTTAGATCCCAGTCATCTGGACTGGAGCTTGTTGACATGCTTGAGCATCATCTGGTTTCTCTTAATTTGATGATGGGGTGGTAGACATCTGAACTGATTCCACACACAAAAACATAATGTTTAGAGCAATTTGAAAGCGCGGCCTGGATGGACACAATAATCAAATACAGAAAATTCTGAACCACATCTATATTTTTATTCTAAAAGAACATATCACCTCTGGGATTGTGGCATTTGGCTCATGCTGGTATAAGAGGTTTTGATCAAGGCCCCTTAGGGGAGTGTAAATAGAGGCTGATCAACTTGAGATAGAGGACGTATTTCTTAGAATAAGGAAAGAATAATTAATAGATTTTCAAAAGTGTGACATTCTTTATACAAATTCAGTTCAGATATCACAAACAAATCCCTCAAGTATATGAGGACTGAGTAGATATGTCTTTTTGGGAATACCTGTTCTTCGCTATTTAAAACGATGTAAGTTGGTTTGAAATGTTGGCTGTTTGTACTTATCTGTTTTATAGCTACAACACTATGTTCTTAATTTCATCTTGTACTTGTTTTTATGATTCTGAAGCAATCTTGATGTCCCCAATATGACATTATTGCTTTCTTTACATTTGGTTTTGTTTTGTTTGTTGAATATCTCTCTCTTTCTCTCTCGTGCACCTTTCTTCTCCCCCTATGTCAAGACTCAAAATGAAAGTTCAGTTAGTTTCACTTAGCAGTAAAGTCCAAATAACTGAAGTCAGAGTCATATCCAAGCTATTTCTACATAGTGAGGATTCTCCACGTTGCTTTCATAGCTGCTTCAAATGCAGAGGAATTTGCATTGGTAATGGAACATTACATGTGGGATTTTCTGCACAATTTCCCCCAATGTAACACTTGACTGTTTTTGAGGGTTTTTAAAAAATGTAATTGCTATAGCATTCTAGTGTCAGCATTATAGCACTAGAACAATTAGCAATTTTTTTCTTCAAAATCCCTTGTGGTATGGCACATCAAAGAAAATGACACCTGCAAGAAGCTGACAGGAGGAAAACGGTGCTGATGTGTGTTTGGGAGTAAGGGCTGTTGAAAATGAGCACATTCCTATCCAGATGTCGTGATAATGCACTTGGGCCATGTTCTTTCTTAAAAGATTGGAGTAAAGCATATTTAGGAAAGAGCATATCAAGGACAGGGAAAAACTAAAAAGAAGCCTGTTGATGCACAACATCATGTGGATGCCCACCTGTAAGTAGTATTTTAACCACTACTGAATTCTTGTTAAGAATCCCAGTTATTGTGAAGGAAAGTAAGCCTAAAACGTCCAGGCAGTCACATGCCAACACTACAACTCACTGGGGTTAGCTGAAAACTTCTGTCTTCAACTATCACAGTGTTCTATATTTAGGCAGAGAAAATGGAGGGGGGGAGACTTGTCTTGGCAGAAGTACTTGCAAAAAGGATCTAGGGGTCTTAGTAGACCATACTCAGTCAAAAGTGTCAGCAGTGTGATGTGGTAGCTAAAAAGGCAAAGGCAATTTTGGGCTCTATCAACAGAAGTACAGTATCCAGGTCATGCAAAGTGATGGTATCACTTTACTCTGCTCTGGTTAGACCTCACTTGGAATACTGTGTTAAGTTTTGGGCACCACAGTTTAAGAAGGATGTTGACAAGCTGGAGTGTGTCCAGAGGAGGGCAACAAAGATGGTGAGGGGCAGGGGTCATTTCGAAGAAAAAGAGGTGCAGGAGGCTCATTAGCATAACTTATTTGCATATGCCACACTCCCTGCCATCACTGGAAGTGTGTCAGAAGGCAACACCCACCGCTCAGGCTCCACCCCCAAAATCTCCAGGTATTTCCAACTCAAAGCTGGTAGTGAGCCAGCTTTACACTTTTTGACTAAAGACTCTTTAAGTTTTCTTTGCTTTTGCAGGGAAGTTACCCTACAACCATGAAGATACAGATCAAGTTAGTAAGCTTTTGCTTTTTCTGCAATAAATCAGGAAAACAATCAAAAGATTACTTTGGCAACAATATGCCTGGGAGAGGTATTCATTAAAAGGGTAATGTTTATAGCAGTCTTGAGGAGCATGTGTTATATTGCACCTTCACACACATTAAGACCAGACAATGTATAATCCCAAAAAAAATCACACCAGCAGCCATGTACACAATACTGCCCATATCTGCCATCTACCATCAGGGATCATTTCCTGCAGGAGCACACAGGAGCGGAGCTCCGGCAGTAAAGAGCCCAGGGGGCGGGCACGTGCAACAAGTCCCACCCCCTGCTCCCAGCAGCCCTCAGTCAGAGTAAGAAGCAGCCAGGGAAGTTGCAGAGCCCCCCCAGCCCCCCAGTCCGAAACAGTGCAGCCAGGGAATAAGACCAAGTTTTATTCAGGTACAAGCTCTCCCTTCTCTGCGAGGACAGATCTTCATGTCCCCCCCCCCCCAATAGCTAACAATCCAAAACAGTCCAGTGGAGCCTGAGCAGTGGGTGTTGCCTTCTGACACACTTCCAGTGATGCCAGGGGGTGTGACATATGCAAATAAGTTATGCTAATGAGTTATGCTAATGAGCTCCTGCACCTCTTTTTCTACGAAATGACCCCTGTCTACCATTAACACATCAAGGCAGGCTATACCAAGGATAGTCCTACAGTAAGATCAAGTGAGACATGATTTACCTTAGTTGGGTGTCATTAAAGATGGGGGAGGGAAACCAACAGATTTATGCCAGGGGGCCCAACACACTGGAAAATTGTCTTACTCAAAACCAAACAGAGCAAGTGGGAGACATGCAAGACATCAGCTTCCAAAGAGTCATGATATCGGACAGGCACCGCCAGCATCTCTCTAGCAAAAAAAGGCGGCTTTCCACAGCGCATCACCATATGTGTCCCCTCCTGGGGTTCTTACTCCCGGAACACCGTTCCTGCGCGTTCCCCCTCAAGATGACCCCTGGTGAGGGGTCTGGAGACCTAGTCCTATGAGGAAGGTTTGGAAGGAGCTGGGTATGTTTAGCATGGAGAGAAGACAACTGAGAGGTTTCAAGTATTGAAGGGCTGCCATATAGAGAATGGAGCCGTTGTCCCAGAAGGTCAGACCAGAACCAATGGATTGAAATTAATTCAAAAGAGTTTTTGACTAAATATTAGGAAGAATTTCCTGATGGTTAGAGCAGTTCCAAAGTGGAACAAGCTTCCTTGGAAGGTGGTGGGCTCTCCTTCGTTGGAGGTTTTAAAGCAGAGCCTAGATGGCCATCTGACAACAATGCTAATTCTGTGAGTTTGGGCAGATCGTGAGGAGGACAGCAGGAAGGGATGAGTCAGTGCTCGGCTCTCGTGCCCCATTCTTACATGCCCAAGGTGATGCTGATGGCCACTTTGGGGTCAGGAATGGATTTTTCCCCCAGGACAGATTGGCTAGGAATCCTGGTGGTTTTTTGCCTTCCTCTGGGCATAGAGTAGGGGTCACTGGGGGAGTGGGGGGCAATTATGAATTTCCCGTACTGTACAGGGGGGTGGACTCAAGGACACTTGAGGTTCCTTCCAACTCTATGTTTCTGCATTTCTATATAAGAGGGGAAGGTAGAAAAGAAGGGAATATGGAGAACATGTCTGTACCTGTACAGACAAACGGGGTTTTTTTGTGCATGTAACATCTGAATGCTCCCTACACAAAACTGTCTTTTCTCACTTCACTTTAGCTCTTCTATGGCCGTCTCCACCATGGTTTTGAGGACAGTTTGACCATTTAGTATAGACTGATTGCAGTTGAGAAGGAAGCTACAACATTCTCTTCTCCTTCTCCTTCCATGGTTATGGTTTCCTCTTCTGACCATAGAGGTGGTCCAGAAGGTCCCCAGCCACATACCTGCAGTGCCCTCAAGGAAGGCTCCAAGTCCCAGTCTGTACTGATCTGCCTCCCCTGAAATGTTGAAGGTCTCATATTTGGCCACAGTGTGTCTGTTGTCAAAATCAATGAAATCAATGCGCAGCTCATTTTCTCCTATTCAGAACAGAAATAATTATGTTGCTACATTTAGAGGCTGCAATAAGAACTCCATCAATTCCACAGACAGATCAAGGATCTGACCCAGTCACAATCTATCAAGAACCTTTCACACAAGGTTTGCTGAAATATGCATGGGATTGCTCACAGGTGCATAATTATGCTTGTGTACCACACACACACTGCTTTTCAACAGTGCCAGTTCAAGGACGATTGCTCCATGGACTGTACCCACAATCCTTTGGAAAACAGTGGTGTCCAACAGGGAACTTCAAAAACAATCTGTCATCTTCCTTTACATAAAATCAGATCATATAGAACATTTTAACATAACTATATTAAAATCTGATTATGCTGACCCAGGTGTTTTTTCAGGATCTAAGAAATTTTGTATTAAACAGCACTGTTTCCTGTCTTCCAAAACAACAGATTCCTATCCAAGTAGAATTTTTATAATGAACCCCAGAAACAAAAGAAGAAATGGGTGGAATATTGCTGAACATTCCTTGGAAACTGTTGTGAAAGAAGAAAGGATTTGGGAAACATCTTGGTCATACATATATACACATATACATAGACCTTTATTGGCATAACACAGGAACAATAAGGAAGGCAATGGAACAAATGAATTAATAGATCATAACAAGTTACATCAAGTTACACCAACAGGGGATCATTTTTAAACTTCTCAAGAATAGTGAACTCAGTTAAAAAATATAACAATCCAAATGAGCACAAGGGGGATTAAGACTTATGTGCCCTTACCCTTAGCTTCCAAACATAAGCTAAGAATTCAGCAACAGACAGGGTAATTGCCGAGAACTTATCAGACAATAGAATTTTAAGATCATTGTCAGTCAAATTCCTTGTGGAAGGTAAGTGGGGACTGATCAGATAGCTGCGCATGGTAGAGTATTGGAGACAGCGTAGAAGGATATGAGCAACTGAATCAGGTTCACTATAGAGACAATTGCAGGTTCTATCCCTGTAGGGGATACCCCTATATCTGCCTGAAACAACAGCTGAAGGAAAGAGATTAAATCTCGCTAGCATAAAAACCTGCCGATAAAGTGGAATTGTTAGATTTTTTTTAAGTGTGTATAAAGAAACAGCAGAGGAGGGTGGGGGGGGGGGGGGGAGGTCAAGGAAGCGTGGAGAACAGACTCCAGAACTTCCAGATCTTAATCTTTCTGCTGAAACTTTCCCATTGGAATGACACCTTATGCAATGGTTATATCATGACCCATTCCTGAAGCATCTGACTGACCACTGTTAAGAGTGACACATTACTGAATTGCCTATAACAAAATAGAAAGAGGATGTTGTGATGGCTCCAGGCACAGACAGCTTTAAAAGAGGATTGAACAGATTCAAGGAGGATAGATCTATTCGGCTATGATGACTAAAGGGAACCTCCACATTCAGAGGGCCTAAACGTATGAATCCCACTGTCAGCAGGCAACATCAGGGGAAGGTCTTAGCCTCTGTGCCCTGTGTTGGCCCTCCAGAGGAACTGTTTGACCACTGCGGGGACAGGATGTTGGACTAGATGGACTATTGGTCTGATCCTGCAGTACTCTTATGTTCTTATATGGCTGCATTTGGCACTGAGGCATACATTTGGATATATCCAAGCTAGAATTAAGCCCCAAATTAGCTGCTTTTGGGTCAGCTTGGGGACATCTGAAATGACCTGAAACACTGCCAAAATTCTGGGAGTAGAGACTTTTTCAGCCTCGAAGCTCAGTCTGTTAAAGACAGGTTCGATATGAGAAATCCTCAAAGGAAATAAGGGCTAGTCCTGATACTAAATGTAGCAACTCTTGTGAAGAAATATCCTTAGAAACCAGGAAATATATTACAGTACAAGGAAAACTCTTACACAATATAAGTTGACTTGCTTCTGATGAAGTTATGATACGAAACCAAGCAAAAGCCGGCTGCTTTGTAAAGTTCCATAATCCTTTCGCTGTTAACAGCAACTAATGTACTGAAGTTCTACAAATTCTTTGGCTGTTAGCAGCAACTAGTGTTCTGTTTGAGTTTACTGTAATGTTAGTATATCATTAAGTTTCACAATTCTGTATAACATTGAGATATTGTATGGCTTGGGTTGTATGCCTTGTTGATATTTTGTATACTTAGAAATAATTTTCAAGTATAAAAGTGACTGTATTAGCATACATAAAGTGTTTGAGTGGATCTATCATACTATTTTTGCCCCAGTTTTGTTATCTTTATTTTTGCCCCAGTTTTGTTGCCATTACTCCTTGGCAAATAGAAGGGGAAGTTGTGGAAGTAGTGACAGACTTCACGTTCCTGGGATCCAAGATCACTGCAGACGGTGACTGCAGCCATGAAATTAAAAGACGTCTGCTCCTTGGGAGGAAAGCGATGACAAACCTAAACAGCATGATAAAAAGTAGAGACATCACCCTGCCAACAAATGTCCGCATGGTCAAAGCAATGGTACTCCAAGTAGTAATGTACGGCTGTGAGAGTTGGACTATAAGGAAGGCCGAGCGGAAAGGAGATTGTAAGTCGCTCCGAGACTCCTTCAGGTAGTGAAGAGCAGGTTATAAAACCAAGTCTTCTTGTTTTGTTTTCCTCACCAGGCCAAGTGAAAGACCGATAACAAGGGGAGACAAAAATTAATGAGTATATATTTACCTCATGAACTGGAGGGGAGTAAAAAATACAGGGAGCCCTCACTGGAGAAGAAGGCCCTGTTGCTGGGAAAGACTGAAGGTCAAAGAATACGGGGACGGCAAAGGATGAGATGGCCAGACAGTGTTATCAAGGCAACGAACATGAAATTAAGCCAACTCCAGAGCCTTCCTGGCGTGATGATGGGGTCCATGGGGTCATGAAGAGTCGGACTCGACTGTGCGGCTGAAGAACAACAAGCACCACCTAACAGCTGATGCCACCAGCTATTTCCCCAAGTTCCCTTCCCCACAACTATGTAGGGATGCCAAGTCCCCCCAGGGAGCGGGGAAACCCCCGCCCGGGAGGCCCGTTCCCCCCCCGCCGCCGGATCGGGCCCCTGGGGGGAACCCCACCGCCAAAGCACGTCACACGGAAATGACGGAAGCACGTCACACGGAAGTGACGCAAGCACGTCAGGGACGTTGGGGGCGGGGCCACAATCATCCCCGAGGGAAAACTCTATGGTTTTCCCTCGGATGATTGTGGCCTCGCCCCCAACGTCCCCGACGTGCTTGCATCACTTCCATGTGACATGCTTGCGGCGTGCGCTTTGCACGCGCGCGAAGACTCCCAGAGCAAAGCTGGACTTCCCCGCTCTGGAACAGGTAAGCACTTGGCAACCCTAACTATCAGCTGTTTTCCAACAAAGGGTGGATGCTAAAAGTAACAGTTGATAGATACCATGCCTGCCTGCCTTTGGAAATAATGCGGCCATTATTTCCTATGGATGGACATGGTGTTCCTACATCCCACAAGAAATAATGGCCCCATTTCCAATGGACTGTAGACTTGGTATCTATCCACCCAGCTATAATTTGTTAGGTAGCATCAACTGTCAGGGGCAGGAAATGGCTGCTAGCAGGTGTTTGGCAGGGTGTGCTTCCCCCCCCCCTGCTCTTACAGCTACTGTGGGGGAACGGGGGGGGGATTAGAAAAATGGTCCTGAATTTTGGAACCTGTTAAATTCCTTAAGGGTCAGAAACTTTGGGATAACATTAAGTATATGTAAAGGTAAAAGTTTCCCTTGCTCAAAAGCATATACCATCCCTGAAATCTGGATCCAAAACTAACATGAACTTTTGTTTAAGTACACGCCCCTCTGAAAGGAAATGTGTATTTTTATTAAGGCAGCATCTTTTTTACTTCACCCACCACCCTTCCAAGAAATGCTGTTACACATCTGGTTTCACTCTTTCTGTAGCTTTTTTCTGCTCAGTGAACATGTACCTGGTCTGCTGTTTCCCTAGCTCATTTCCCCCCACTCCGTAATTTCTTTCACAAAACTCTTCCTCTTCTTCTCTGCTTCTTCATCTGTGAACGCAGATGTGCCTTAAACGTCCTCCTCCTTGTTCAGCATGTTCCCGCCTTCTCCGTAGCTCTGCCCTCTGCCTATCAGGATGCTTCCTTCCCCCAGCTACATTTAAATCTATGGCTCCGCAGCTCTAGGCAATGTTATGTACTGTCTTATCACTTTGCTGCTATTCTTTCCCCCTCAGTTGTTCCTTTCAGAAGTTGTCCTGTGGTTTAATCTGTAACTCTCTTTTCTGTAACAAAGTCTTGTCACTGATGAATAGACAGCTCTAAGTGTTTTGGTTTTGCATACTCAAGAACTCCTTGAGAATGAAGAAACACCATCAGCTGGGAGGGTTTCACTGCCCAAAACATTGTTGGGAGGGCATCCAAGTTTGCTACAAGAAGGAATAAGAAATCGGAGAAACAAATTTTCTCTGTCCCCATGTTTCTTGAATGTTTCTTTCAACAAGTCGTGCTTCCTAGAGGGCACTGAGCATACTCAGTTCTCCTCAGGGAGTACTTTTTGGGGGCAGGAGTACTTAAAAAAAATTATAATCAGATACTTGTCCCCAGACTTGCAAAGCCCACCAAGCTTGCAGAAACTCCTGTTATGTCTATGGGTGCATCCATTTTCTTGTTTTTGGTACAGAGTATCCAATTGTAATCTTACAGGGAACAAGTTAAGGCTAGAGTTGCCAGCTCTGGGTCGGGAAATACCTGGAGATTTTGGGTATGGTCCTTCAGGAGGGCGGGGTTGGGGGGAGGGACTTCAGCGGGGCAGCCATTTTCTCCAAATGAACTGATCTATGTCACCTGGAGATCAGTTGTAATCCCATGAGATCTCAGCCACTGCCTGGAGGCTGGCAACCCTAAATTAGGGCCCATCAGGAACCCAGCTGTGAAATCCTGTCTACACAATGCTATAATGAGACTTCTGAGTTCTCTGACTGGAGGAACACCCAGTTCTGGACCTCAGCAATTTGTCCGATAGACGAACTGTTGAGGTTTGGGCCTAGGTTTGTCATTTAGCTACCGACAAGACTGATGAAGCACAGGGAGCGTTTACCTCCCTTTCCCTATGCTATGTGGGGAATTGGGTTATGGGGATGCATGTCTCATGAAACCCATCTTCCCAAACCTAACTTTGCCCCCATTTCGGTTGCTATAAGCAACTAGGGGCTTGATCAGGCCAATTTCTCCTTCCACTATAGGTTTCCTTTCCCCCCTCTTTAGCTGATGCTCAGCTGTGGGTCTTAAATCATATCGATGAATGCTCATCGTTCACTGGGCCATGTAGGATTTATTCTTTAATTTATAAACAAACATGCAGAACAACTGAGTGGTGATTGTAGCAAAAGTGAAAACTCCTGTCAGGATACACTTTACCTAGTGAGGTCAATTGGTGAATGTTGTCATTCCCCAGCCAGAAATCAGTGAGTTGCCTTCCAAATCCTCTCTTGTAAGAGTTCCAGTCCTGGAAAAAATCCACAGAGCCATCGGTCCGTCTCTGGAATACCTGCAAGGAAGAAAGAGGACTTCTCTGTTTGATCTTATCCTATCCATGGCATGAAATATAACAGGGCATGCTGGGGTAGGGGAGATGTTGTATCAGAGGAGGGAATGAATGTCAACAGACACTCTCCTGGCCATGCCCACAATTGTTCTATGTCATGCCACAGTGGCTTTTGCCACTCTCTCAAGGCTGTGGAGAGAGAAGTTTCTCTCCAGACCACAATGACTGAGGGAACAGCACCATCGTAAATGTTCAAAAGAGAATCACAGTGCAATCCTAAAACCATTAATTTAAATTGATTTAAAAGGGCATCTCTCTGTTTAGGATTGTACTGTGTCCCCAATGTAAAAAACCCCCAAATCCTTGGAATGGTATTAGCTGTACTCTTCCACAGGTAGGAATCTTCAGATAAAAGTTACAGCTGGTCTATTGAACAATTAGATACAACTATCCTTTTGCGAGACGGAATAATTTTGAACAAGACAGATAGGGTCAAATGTGAGAGGACTGCAGTGTGATCTATTTGTAGAGATTTGGGAGAAGTATAGACAAGTGTTGACGGAGGGGGTTGTGTCAAGTTCTTCAGCAATCTGTTCTAAAGATTGTTCTGTGGCAAGGACAGTAAGCAATTTTTTCACATCAGAAAGAGCAAATCTGGAGGCTTCCGGTTTGTGGATCAGCGATTGTTCTGTGGCAAGGACAGTAAGTAATTTTTTCACATCAGAAAGAGCAAATCTGGAGGCTTCCGGTTTGTGGATCAGTGATGGCGGATGTTCTCCCCGGACCTTGGGGGAATGAATCGCATACCAGCGGTATGGAGGGGTGCTACCTCAAGTAGCACTCCCACAGAGCCTTTGCGATAGGTTCCAGGCCATAGGGCTTTTGAGGGGCTGATACCAAGATGACAATTTTTAGAGTCCGCGAGAAGCAGTTGGGAATTGTAAACAATCGTATAAAAACCAGAAGAGGGAGCAGACGTCATGCAAATGTTAGTGGATATCCTCGCCGGGATGGAGCAACTCGATGGTATTAACTAGCAACTGACTTCGCTGAACCAAAACCCAGCAGCTCCAACTGGCAGAAACGGCGAACAAGGTGGAGCATATGACTGAGAGAATTAAAGAGATAGACACCACAAACAAGAAAATGAAGAAAAGAATGGGGGAAGTTGAAGCAAAACAAAACTTCCAAGAAAACCGGTTGTTACAGCTACAAATGGAAAAAGCCAATATGATACTCAGATTCCAGGGAGTTCCTGAATCTGAAAAGGAGGATCTGAGGAAGTTGCTCAGCGATATTATTGCTCCAGCAATAGGCTCAACAGTGGATGAAGTAGTAAAAGAGATGGAGACTGCTTACAGGGCATACTCCAATTATATTAAAAAAATAGCCTGCCTGGAGAAATTGTGGTCAGATTCTCAAGAAGACAGACGAGAGATGCTATTTTAAAAGCGACTTCAGCAACTTTACTGAAAATGGGGAATATAAGCATTAAAACTTTAAAAGACATTCCATTTGAAATTTGTCAAAAGAGGAAAAGCTACAAAGACTTAATTTCTCTTCTTCAAACCAATGGAATTTCATACAGGTGGACGATCCCAGAGGGTGTCATCTTTAAAATCAACGATAAAAAAGATAGAGTCCATCTTTAAAGCCAAAGAATTTTTGAGACGCCAGTTGGGATTGGAGGAAGAATCCAAAGATGAAGAACCAAAATCGTGACTCCGCTACCTCTGGATCGGATGAGGACTCTGCTGTAGAAATGGGTGCAGGCGCAACGAAAGTTACATATGATTTCAGAGACAGAAAACCGAAGTGAAGGCAGAAGGACTCTGAAAATTGCCTTTTGAAGCAAATAACAAGATGCTCAGAAAGCTCTCTCACAACAACTAACATAATAACATTGAAACCGAGACAAACAAGAACTCTACAAGTATATTGTTGTACTAACACTTTTATTAATAACACTTAGATTAACACAGATATGATCTCCTCCTCTTGGGTTTTTAGTATAGTGTGGTTATCTATTCTTTATCCTTAGATGTTAGTCCTTCCCTCATATTTTCTTTGTAGTTCTGTAGTCTTATAAATAATAATAAAAAAATATCCCTCCGGGGATTCCAAAAAAAAGAAAGAAAGAGCAAATCT